ACTTTCAACAGGCGTGCCCGCTCGTAAAGCAAAAACTCACAGACATTTCAATGATTTGTACGGCAAAGTTAGGTTTGGAAACGATATAATTTCCTTTTTTGCGGGCATGCATAACACCGGAGCCTCGCTGCGGGGAAGCTTTGGCGTTGTTCTGAGTTTGTTCTAATCCTTCAAAATGATAGCTTTCAGATTTTTCCGTCATTGTTAAAAAATATCCGCCATAGACGGAAAATATTCGGTTAACGCGCCACTGCAGTACAAAATCATTAAAACTAGCTGCGCCTTTACCAGCTTTGATAACACTTTAATGATCAATCATTATAAAACATATCATAGGCCTATATATTATTCTGAAATGGGCCAATCTGTAAAATGACTACTTTTGGTACTTGAATTAAATGTTGATTCTAATACTTTTACTTGGGTAACATTTTGAATGCAGGACTTTTACTTGTAATTGAGTATCTCTACACTGGTACTTTTTGTTTTACTAGAAGATCTGCAAACTTTTTCACCTCGGAATGTGTCCTTCGTATATCAGTTAGTGTGTGTTCCTAATATATCAGTTAGTGTGTGTTCCTAAGTATACAAAGAGGACATGTGAGTCAGCTCCTCTGCAGCTTATCATTGCTAACAGTGCCTTCTAGTGGCCGTCCACTGCAGTAAATCCTCTCTCTGTGGATCCTCAGCCTCAGCATGGTTAGACAACATGATGACTTTCAGGGAATGACCGTGTGGCCATTTATCAAGCCGTGAGTGGACAACCGATACAGTTTCCTGACACTGCGCTTTAACTTGAGGAAGAAAAATCTGCCCTGAAAAAGCTGAAGAGACGGGAATAACAGCTCCCATCCAGCACTGATTTAGAGTGCATATGTGGTGCAAGTTAGAACACACGCTGAAGCAATCAGGCATTATTCTGCATGCAGGCTATAAAATAATAGAGCCCAGTTGCACTTAAGTTGTCAGGCTGCTGCTTCAAATCTCAAAGTTCGTGACATGTTTCTCCCCCCTTTCTTTCTCTCTTTCTTCTGGCTATCTCTGTATATGTTTGAGAGAGAGAGAGACAGAGAGACATGTTGGTGGAGTTCCCTTCTCACTACATTTGTAAAACAAATTATGTCCAATGGAAGCAACAGGTGCAGGATTTAAAGGTGACTTATAGCCCTGAGCCAGGCATCCCTGTGAGTGTTAACCAAACAAAAACCATGGAAAGTGTAAAAAAAATTATTTGCACATCCATGTTCCAGCTTTGTAAGAGAGTGATTCAATAATGAAAACACAGTCCTATGGTCATTCCCGTTCTTCTTTTTCTCCAACCATGAATGGATAAGGATATTTTCTGACAGGCAGGGGCTACTTAGTTCTCTCTAATGCATTTTACCTTAAATTGGGAAATGGTCAAATTATTATAAATTTGAGAAGTAATTGTGATCATTATTCTCATTAGTTAAGCTGCTTCTCCAGGAGAATAATCCCCCTTGTGTATAAATAAGCAAGTGTTTGTTGAAAATATAATTTCTTGCAGTGTCACTTTAAAGCTCTACTATGAATAATATTAATCTATAGACAGTGGAAGCCTGTATATTGGTCTCTATGCTGAGATGTGTTCACAATACTTGTTTTTACTGTTGCCTCTTGCACCTCGGCATCAGTTCAGCCTTCAGGGTGAAAGAGCGATCCTCCTGCTGCTGAAAAAAAGAGCTGGCCGCCTGCCAAAGAAACAAGTGCCTCCCTTCCCTGCTGTTTAGCGTATTCATAGTTAGGGGTTTGGGCTCGGCTGTTTTTATAAAGGCAAGGCAGCGCTTCAGTTGATCAGTCTGCTCAGGAAACTTCTGCTGGAGAAAGTCCTGGAGTCCAAAACCTGAAGAGGAGAGAGATTTTGTGCAGTATCCCTTCTCCTGCAGAGAAGAAAAAAAAGCACATATTTGACTTTTTTTGCAGGGTGCACTGCAGAGCCTGTAATTAATGTTTTTGAAACAGATAGCAACCCTCTTCTTGGATAAAGACTCTTGGCTTTAAAAAAAAAATCGGATTATCTGACAGAGGCATTGTGCTCATTAGTCTACTTTTCCCCCATCCTCTTCGCATTTGAGTTTTTATGCTAAAACTGAAGAACAATGTTTCTGAGTTTCTGCCTCTTGGTGACATTTATCTTGGGGCTGTCCGGGTGCTTGGGCTCATACGTGCCGTGCGAGCCGTGTGACCAGAAGGCGCTGTCCATGTGCCCTCCGGTGCCCGTCGGCTGCCAGCTGGTGAAGGAGCCGGGCTGCGGCTGCTGCCTCACATGCGCCCTGTCTGAGGGGCAGGCGTGCGGGGTGTACACCGGGACGTGCACTCAGGGGCTCCGCTGCCTGCCCAGGAGCGGGGAGGAGAAGCCCCTGCACGCGCTGCTCCACGGCAGGGGAGTGTGCACCAACGAGAAAGGATACAAACCTGCGCACCCGCCCATAGGTAAGAGCGCACCGGACCACCGTCTCCATGCATGCTCCGGATCAACTTGTGCAGCATAAAAGTTCATCATATTATGGGATAAATAATGCCACAATTTTTTTCATCTTAAAACATTATTATTTAGCAGATATTATATTTGTTGTCATGTGGTTCCCTTCTTTCTCCATGCTGTCTGTCAGAGCGCGTGTTTGACAGATGGTTTGAGGTGCCATATGAGTATCCATTGATTAAACTGGCTGCAGGAGCTTATTCCGCCTCAGAAAATGCACCTCAGGTTCATCATCAAGCTGTAACCCTGTTGATTTGGTATTTGGTAATGAATCATCACATTAGAAACACACAAAGTGGATAAATAGTCCGGGTGTGCGCACGGTGTTTGTGGTTAATCTGTGGCGGGCGGCTGCTCGCTCCGCTGCGGGTAAAACGCATGAGGTGTCCCGGCTGATTTGAGGCTTTGGTGCGGGGCAGCGGCTGTCAAACTGCGGTCTACAGAGACCCAGGAGATCGTAGCTGACAATGATCCAGAAAATATTTCCATGTTAAGGCAGAGCCGATCATTACACGCATTTTTCTCAAGATGTTTGTTATCCTGACGCCAAAAACAGGTCTAAACACGTAATGAAAAGGTGCGATAGTGTATTTATATAAAGGATATTTAAGGGGAAATTGTTGGAACCCCTAAAGTAGTGCTCATTCTGCAAATTGCCGCCTTTTTAATACCCACTCGTGTAACAAGTGTCTGTCAAAGCTCACTATTTTCCATCCCCGTGCCAGAGCGCATTAGGTTTTTTAATTTCTTTAATTTCTCGCCTTTCAAATATCATTCGCACCTTGAGACATGAAGTCTACGGAGGCACGAAAAGAATAAAGAGTGAGTAGATTAACATTGGAAAGAAAGAGGTGCCTCTGCGTAGTTGAAGCTGAATTCAGATCAGATATAGGTCTGCAGGCTACCCTCAGAGTCGGATTACCTCTAAATCTGTATGCGTGAGAGAGACGCGAGAGAAAGACATGGAGATGTTCAGACAGAAAGAGAGTGGAGGTAGCAGCTTTGAGTGATTTAAGGCATTTCTCGGTGTAGCGGAGAGCTTCACTGTCGCTCAGACTTTTAGCAGCTTGTCAACAAGTAGATAAGTAGGTGGTAACCACAAAGGGTTTGGCTACATACCTCATTCTATAAAATGGGCTGCCACTGGGCTCATTTTGGCTGTTGACAGAGTCATTAGGTCATTTGCACCCAGTGAGCCGAATACCTCTCCTTGTAATGACATTACAGCACAATAATCTTTGTCTGAGACTGCCATTCTTCCAATTGCTTGGAAAAATACAAATGGGAGCTAGCAAAGCTAAAACAACTGATCATTCCCAGTGTGTGTGTGTGTGTGTGTGTGTGTGTGTGTGTGTGTGTGTGTGTGTGTGTGTGTGTGTGTGTGCTTGGGTGGGGCTGTGTGGGTGTGCATTGTGTGTGATTGTTGTGAATGATGACACCTCGGGCAGTTTTGTCTCACTCCTGCTTTGCACACACACACACACACACACACACACACACACACACACACACACACACACACACACACACACACACACACACACACACACACACACACACACTCACTCACTCACAAAATCTGACTTCTTTGTTGGCCCTCAGAGGTAATCAGAGCATTTTTTCCTGCCTCTGGCACTGCATTCATTGCATGGGCGCTCAGTCACAACGCAGTGATTCAGCAGAATGCCTCTGGCTCTCTCTGTCTTCCCTCTAGGGCCTTCTGTCAAGCAGCTCCGCCCGACGGGTAGTGGTGAGGTGAGCTTCTAGTTTCCTGTGGTGTGGGGTTGCAGCTGTCTCTGTGTGCTTTACCAGCTGAGCAAAGCCAAACACAGGGAGGAGGAGCTCAAGTGTCCGCAGCCTACTAAATATTGACTGGGGCAGCCAAACAATGGGAGAGAGGAACCTTTGCTATCCTACAGCCCCAACCCCCCTCCCTTCTTCACTTGTAAGAAAAAAGAGCCCAGACCATTTCTCTGTGTACCAGCAGTGCATTAATTCACGTTTTGCTCTTGGACTATGAGCCCAGGGGTTGCTTGGATTGTAAGGCTCAGGAGGTGGTGTGTGCTGTGGGGGCACTCAAACTTTGTTAGCCCCCTTCGGGTGAATCAGACCCGGGAAAGCTTGCCAACAGATATGACTTCATAGCAGCAGGCCCCTCGTCCTTCAAGCTTCTGAAAGGGCCCTATGTTTGGGATTGCTCTGTGCCAAGAAACAAAAGATGATTAGGGAGTGGTTCCAACTCAAGAATACTCCACACATACGGGCAGAAATACTATGCCCCTTATTAGCATAGCAACCGGAAACCTGGTGCCTTAACTGACAGCTTTAATACTTTACATTTGTCTTGGCTCTTTACATGTGCATTTTAAACTTGTTGCCAGACAGTTTTCAGACACATTTCCATTGGTATTTACAATCAATCGAGTACATTAAGCGACTGCAGACTTTTCAAGAGAACTCTACATATGTATGGCCACACTGCCTTGTCTAAGCAGCATACAGAATCGCTTGTCATCACTTTAGTTTAGAAAGCTCTTTAACATTTAGAACCACCATCTGCTTTTTCCATGTCTGCAGCCTCACCGACGCAGCTGGTTATTGCGTCGCAGCCGAGAAACCGAAGCCATTGGTAAAACGCTGATTTTCTCCGACCGTACACTCGGGCTAATGACAACCAGCCACCGTGCTCCGGCCCCCGTGGATGTTGTGTGCTCATACAGACATGCCACATTAGATATAGCCAGGTCACGTGTGGCCCCAGCTGCCTGACAGCTTCATGACGGGCTCATGCGAAAGGAAAGACTGTAGGTGGCTTTCCATCCGTCTCACCTTGAACATCTGAGATAGCGCAGTGAAAGCTTAGCATGCTGCAACTGATCTGTTGCAGGTGCTTGGTAGAATTATTAGAAAGGTCACTTTGTCGAGGACTTCAAGATAGAAAATAAGCATGCAATTGGTGGAAAATGCGACGCCAAGAAAATAAAGAGGACTTGTTTCCTTAGATGTGACATTGATACCATTGTAGAACTGCTTTTGTCTGCACATAGCATTTAGATGCATGGCCATAGGGTGTACAGCAGTAGAGCTGTCGCTGGCAAGCGCATAACCTTTTTGGCACACTTGCCTGGTTTCTCCCTGTAAAACTTTACAGTGGTATTTGTATAGCTTATTGGTCACTGACACCTAGCCTGCTGGTGGCACCAGCTGTGGAAGAAATCAGCACTCACTGTAGTCTTTCTACGCTATATGAGCATGTGATTCAATAAGCACAAGGATGGCCTCATGCTGGGCTCACGTGTTAACCTGACCTGAATACTGTAACCCCGCAACCAACACCTTATGGGCTGTTCAACAAAACTAGTTCCAAAAGCCAGGCTTTCTTTGCCTTAGCTAGCTTGAAAAAACCTAAAACTCTTATCAGAGATATTGGGAGCTAGGATCGTTGGTACTTCGATCCTGATTGCTGCCTACTTTCGATTTAAAAAAATAAAGTCATTATTTTACTACTTGATTGTCCCTCATTGCCTCTCGTTCATTTCTAATGTGCTAATGCATATTCTTCAGCACTTATACTTTAAACTTTAAACAAAGTATCAATAGGCAAATCCCTGCAAACCAGGACTACACTGATGACTGTTGATCTGGGTACAAACATCTAATCAGAAGGCATGGGGATGACGGGTGCATTATCATTATCGAAAGACTCCATGTTCCATTTCAGCATCAACCACATGTCCAGAGTACCTCAAGGTCAGAGCTTGGTCCAATGCTTGCTACTAATTGATTCATGATTCATTCACAATTTTGCCAACTTTGAAGCTACAGTCTCCCTTTGCATGGCAAACAACACCACAAGCACCGGGTACAAAGCTTTAAATCAAGCATTCTCTTGTTTAGCTTGCCAGATCTTTCTCATCTAAGTGCCCAGTGTGACCCCTACAAACCATCCATTTGCCAAAGTGCAAAGATGGCAAACATGCTCTTGGTCATTAGCATGCACGCTTGAGAAGAACTTTGTACAAACCAGGCGAGGCCGGGCGTCAGTTGTTGAAAAGAGAACACAGTTGTTTCCTGGACTCTAATCTAGGCCATATTTGAACAACATGATATGCAGTATTGTAATTCCACCTTGGTCCACTCAGATGGCCCAGATTCATCAAGCTAACGTTTGCCATATCCAACACTGTTGGTATGAAGGGCAGCCGTGGTAAAAGTCTCCATATTGAGGCAAGGCAGGATTGAAGGCAAGACCTAAAAGTTCTTGTAAATTACAACCAGAAGTTCTAAACTCTCGCCAAAATATATTTGTTATGCCACTGGAGGGATAGAACATTGTTGCACCCAGCAATTGTGTTGTGGTGAAGTTGACCCAAAAAGAGGTTGTGTTCATCCCTGTTACTTTAAAAAAAAAAAAAAAACATTGCTAGGAATGTACAGTAGAAGAAATATGCACCTCTCCCTGATTATGTGATTTTCACATGACCGGGTTGCAACATGAACCTATTATCAGCGGAAGCTGTAAACAGGTCAGAAAGTTTGCTTACCTACATCAGCATTTCCCTCTTGGAAAGACTTTGCATCCTCTCATAAGTCATGTTTTGTGATTTACAACCCTTGAATTGTTCTTGTTGCTATTTATACCGTGCATTCAGAAAAGCAGGAAACTTTTTGATTGCAACGAACATATTATGTGTGCACAATACCATGGGAAGAGTTATTTCCTGCATTTTTCAGAAGCTTCCGAAGACCACGCACTGGGTCCAACAACTGAGATTCCATGGCAACAAAAGTACATGAGGGTCAAAAACATAAGTCCCTTGCAGTCGGGGGTGATCAAAGATGCAACTCATGGACACAGCATTTGATAAAGCCCATATTTTCCTACATCTCCAACTGGTTTGGAATAGAGTCTGTCTTCTCATGTAACCAGGCTTTGTGCACTGTTGTCAGATGTGCACAGGGTGTATCTTATCTGTCATGAAAATGCAACTGGCCATCCATGCCTGAACTCCAGAATTGTTACTGACCTTGTCATTGTATCTGCAAATTATTCTGCTACTGATGAGTTTTAGCAAAGGTTACTTTTACCACATGTTTCAAAAGCCTCTAGGACCTATATTCCTTTGGTCATTGGGACTTGACATTTGTGCAGCTGTGAATGCATCCTCTGTGACTTGCACAACTCTTCTGGTTTGTTCTCACCTCCCTTTCTGCTCTAGAAACTGCAGGGCTATCAGGCCATGACCTTGCTTTCAAATATTAAGTAGCGGAGGCTGTCTGAGGCGGAAGGATGGTTTACTCATGCTTCAAGTGACACAGGCCCACAGGCTCATTATTCCTACATTATCTTGTCTTGTTGAGATTAAACGGCACATATATTCAACCGTCTCTTACGTCTTCTAAAGATGTAATATCTGATGCAAGCACACTTAATCAAAGGCAGGGTACAACATCAAGTGTTGTAATGGTTGGAACTCTAATGAAAGGTGGGATAATCTATTGTCTGGTAATGCTTTTTTTGCTGTATTGTTAGGATATGGAGGAGAGGAAAATCTAAAGAGAAGGTAACTTATCTTTCATGCCTGGACTGTTGCCGGTAAGACACTTGGGATATTCATGAAGCATAATTGTGTGCAGATGTTAATTTTTAAACAGAGAAGTATCAGGTGCACCTCCTTTGGCTACTCTGCTCCTCTCATCCTAATGAAATGTTTAGCCTGAGCAGAGAGGGGAGAGAGATAGCAGCTCAGCTTTGGGCTCAGCTGAATGGCAGAGCTGCACATGACTCAGCTCACTTGGCTCCTGTCCAGCGTCTTGGCTGAGTTTCAGGAGTTAAACACAGACCCTCTAAGCCTCCTTTACAAGCTGGGTACCCTGAGCATGGAAAAACTGAGTTTTTGTGGCTGCGTCGGAGAGCCCACTTCAGAAAAGATGAATTTGGTGATTTTGTGAGTGGAGGAGAAAAAAAGTCAAACACCATTGTCTTCAGAAAAGCTGCTTTGTTTTTAAAAATTGAGACAAAAACCCTTTTTCCGTCCTTACACCATTCTCAAAGTGAGTGACTTGTAATATGATAGAGAAATAGATAGATACAGACATTATTAATCCCAAGTTGGGAAATTGTTTTGTCAGAGCAGCATTTTGACAGTTAATGTCAAAATGAATTACAGAAATGTCTTAAAAAAACTAACAAAAGAAACTCATATATTCAGAAGACTATCTAAACACTCTAAAATATACAGATTATAAGAATACTCTCCAATATACCAATCTACTAAACATATACAAATAGTGTACTTTATACATAAGAAAATAGTTTGCAGTTATTTTTAATTAAAAGTAAAATATATCCTGTGAGGTAAGGTGGATAAAACTGATGTGGCATGGCTGGACCTTTAATAGTCTGGCCATTTATATGCTCAAATTAGATTACAAATGAAGCAAGAATGCATGTAAAAAAATAACGTCGCACATATTTTTCGACAGCCAAATATGTGGCATTTTAATCAAGCAGTTATTGGACTGGACGGCTGAAATGAAAAGTTTTTCCACAGTGGTCACAGCCCCGGCGTGCATCGGAATGCTTGTTTGACGTATTTATTTATAGCGAGTAATAGACTCGTAGTCTGAGCGGGGGAGACACAAGGACATATCTAAACACAAACCAAGGCCTGCCAAGTCATGAGTTGTGCGATTAATTTGAAAGAGACGGCAGTTCAGCGCAGAAGCCAAAGACCCAATTCTGGTAATCACCCTGCCCCCCCTCTTCCCCTCCCACAGACTCCAGACGCTCATGCTGTGTCAGGCTCTTTGAACATCAGTTTCTCGGAGCCCGTGTCCTTGTTACGTCTCAGTGCCTTTCTCTATGGTGGCTGTGTACTAACAGGCCAGTCAGCAAAGTAATGGCAACAATCTTATTACCCGTGTTTCTCTTTCTCATCCGTATACAAGTATGTCTCTCAGCAGCAGTTGGCCTATAGTCGGTAGCCAACATTCCTCTCTGGTTCAGTGCGTCTGGCCGTGTGCACCACGGCGGGTTTCCTTGTCAGATAAAAATAACCAGGGTCATCCACTGGCACCGTGGCTTCAGCCAGTTGGGGCCTGGCAGAGTCCCCACAATAACGCTGTACTTATGGTACAGCTAAGCCAAGGGGGGGGGGGGGGGAGCTCAGGGCTTCTTTCTGTGCCCTCAAAGAACCTCTGGCTGGGGGTCCAAGATTAAGAGGCTGAGCCCCAAACATAGGAGTAGGGGGGGGCTATGTTAAGTATAAAGGACCTAAACCCATGAACATCCTATCAAGAGACTATAGTGCCCCCTGGGGGAGCTGATATTACGTCTAAGAGGCGCATAAAATGGGACAGAAATGTGAAAGCATTTATATGAGTCCACGGAGCAACTGGATTTTCCTCAGCTTGACATTTGAATCAGTTTAATGTAGGCCACGTCGCTGCAAAGTTACGACACTCCGAGGCCTAAGACCCTGTTGCTGTGTTCCAGATAACGTGTTAGCTAATCTTCCAGATATTCCAATGCAACATGTGATGCAGTTTTCCAAAGTTACATGACATGTCAAATACATTAAATGTCATTTGTTAGACACTTTTATCCAAAGCGACTTACATACATTCAGTTCTGTGGACAATCCCCACAGGAGCAATTTGGGGCGAAGTGTCTTGCCCAGGGACACAACGACATGCTGACTGCAGTAGGACTCGAACTTGCTATCCCCTGATTCGAAGTTCAGCACACTAGCCTCTGAGCCACAGCCTCATAGTTGTAGAGATATGTATGCTTACAAATATTTGGTATATCTGTGTTTATGTGCGACCTTAACTGACTTTAAGACCAAAAGGAAATCTCTGTTTTTATGGATGCAGACCAGCGCCGAGCGGTCTTACATGGAGGGAAGTTTAGCATGACTTTTCAGATGTTTTAAGAGGTAGAGTAAGGAGATTGGGAGGTAAAACTCCTGTGTGAGCTGTAGAAGTCAATCATCTGTCAATTTCCCCTCCTCTATAAACAAATGGCAAGTAACAGTTGGTGGCACATACCCTGGGAAAAGCACGTGAGATTTATGGTAGAGGACCAACTGCTGCAGAACCTTTTCTAAATTATGCAGATAGCATTTTTTTTAAGTGACTGTTAAAGATTGTAAACATAAATCCTACATCAACATTCTACTGGTTCCTCATAATACTTAATTACAGGTCTATGATGACTATAATTAGTTAAGACATTACCCTTCCCAGAGACATTTTTCATTCCTGAATTTTATGTTCTTGTTCAAATAAAATTGTAAGACTTGTTTCATCATGAAATAATGACTCTAGGGATTAAATAAACGAACCCAGGGGAAATTCCCAGAAAAGTGGGGAACAGCTCCATTTTAAATATAGATTTAAGGGTTTAAACAGGGAGTTTGGTGTTAACCATTTTCATGGGTCTAGTCAATTACAAACTTACATTTTGTCAATGTTGTGTTTACAGCTTATGTAAACTCGATTAACGTGAGGCAGTTTTATTAAATCCATTCAAACCAAAAGAGGGCAGGCACAACAAGCCAACCAGTGGGAAACAATTTTCATATTATGTTTTATACACATATTAACGCAAATGCATTAATGTAAAGCTGAAGCTTGGTTGTGGGTTTAAAACTGTGACATTAATTGACCGTTTTTTATTTGCTCCGCTGCAGATCGTGAGTCTCGGGAGCATGAGGATACCATTACGACAGAGATTACAGAGGAGCTGCAGCCTGCTAAAGTGCCACTCCTTCCCAAAGACATTGTGAACAGCAAAAAAGTCCTCGCGCTGCGCAAGGAGCAGAGGAGGAAGCTCGGCAAGCAGCGCTCCATTGGCTCCCCCATGGACTACTCCCCTCTGCCCATCGACAAGCATGAGCCTGAATTTGTAAGTTTTCATTGTCAGTTTGAGCCTTTATCATAATGGTCTAGGTTGAACTACTTTGCAGACTCCTAGTAGTATCTTAGCAATGAACGCCTTCATTGTTATGTCTATAAGTGCATTTAATTTGAGTTTTGAATTACTAAGGGTTTGTTTCACCCCCTTTGCTCAGTATTTGTAACCCAAATCTGTCTTTCCTCAAAGGGTCCATGCCGGAGAAAACTGGATGGGATCATTCAGGGAATGAAGGACACTTCTCGGGTAATGGCCCTGTCTTTGTACCTTCCCAACTGTGACAGAAAAGGTTTCTTCAAGCGCAAGCAGGTGGGTGTGCTTCAGAAAAGTCTTTCCAAAATAGTTTTGGATTTTGCATCGATATTTGTATTTACAAACATTGTTGTCTTTTTTTCACCCTCTTTCCAAGTACTGTACCTAAAAGGTCACACCAGCATTTAAACATTTTTTCAGTTAGTTTGCTTGCATTGGCAAAATAAATTAGCTAAATTGTTTATTCTATTAAATGTTGGTCATTGAACTGTTAGAAACCAGTCATGGAGCTTCTTACCTTGTTAGCTGACTGATAGTTTGCTAGCAAGCTAGATTTAAAGAGCTTTTGTGGCCGCCATTGTGACTAACTAGTGCAAACATGTTGGTTAGCTGGCTAGCATGTTAAGCATTAGCCTGTTAGGTACAAATGTTTAAAAACTAGCAATTCAGGAAGTAACTAAAGCCACATTTCCACTGCATGATATGACTTAGCTTAAATTAACTCCACTAGCTTTTACATGGTTCACCATAAGCAAAAGTTGTGTATACTCCCTATTGCTTATTTGCTATCATCTCAGTCCAGTCTCCAAGCAAGCTTTGTGGATGCCAGATGATGAAGTTTAAAGACTGCAGACCACCAAGTGAAACTTCACTGGCTCAACCAGGGCCAAAACTCGCCATTTCTGAATAGCCAAGTTACCATCAATAGAAATTGGATTGAAGATCTATTAAAGGCAGTTTTCATGGAGCATAGCTATAGCAGGAGTACAGCAATAGCATAAGGACATAATCCCCAATAGAAAAAAGGGCCTGGCACAACGAGTGAGTTGAGTCGAGCGAAGCAAAAACCATTCAGTGGAAATACCATATATGCTACCAAGCTACTAGCAAAGATGTGCAAATATACTTTGCTGCACCATTTTCTATATCTTTACCCTTTGCACATTTTCTAACATTTTCACCTCATTACATCACAACTATAATTTTGTTTTCTGTCCCACAGTGCAAGCCATCCCGCGGACGCAAACGAGGCATCTGCTGGTGTGTGGACAAGTACGGCGTTCAGCTCCCCGGCACAGACTACAGCGGCGGGGACATTCAATGTAAAGACCTGGAGAACAGCAACAACAACGAGTGAAAAAGGGAGGACCACCCTTGACCCCCACCCCCCCTTGAACCCTAACCACCACGTGACCCAGGGCCCACGCCTCCCCTCTGTATCACATCTGTATGCTCCGCCCTCCATTCACTTCAAGATTTTTTCAAGTTGAAAAAAAAAAAGGAAGAAAAAAATCCAAACGAAAGAACAGGCTGAAAAAAAGACACCTGTATTTGTTTTCTTTTATATTCTTGTGTTGACCAAGTACTCATCTCTGAATGAGCGGAACAGTCCCAGAAGATTTACTCGATCTCTTGACTCTTGCCCATGGGACCCTTTTGTCTGAGGCCGGTCCCCTGGTTGCAGATCAATGAAAATATATGCACATTACGGATATATTTTTATGGAAGCTGGGGGTTTCAATACTTGTATGATGTAAACTTATCGCAAAATCATTGTGAAGAAAAAGATGTATCAGGCACATTGGTTGAAAACAGATCAGTTTTAGGCTGTGCAACATGATGCCACTGTGGAACTGAAAATTGGGTTTTATTTGAAAAGGAACAAATAATAGATAGGGATATGCTGTAACAGTTGACTCTATCTGGGTATGTGGTTCTGTCAGAGCACTTATGAATAGGGGAACCTGCTTAGATATGTGTAACTTCACAAAATGATGTGTGCATGAATGCTTGGATGTGTACAGTGCGTGCGTGTGGTATGTATCCGCCTGTGTTGGTGAATGATGGAGTGAGCCTACTATGAAAAGAATGTCCTTTTTTTTCTTTCTCTTTTGTTTGATTTTGTCACAACAAGTATTGCTAGCGCTTGAAGTGGTCTAGGGGCTGGCCTTCTCTTTAACTGATGTAAAGTTTGTCTCGGGACACTGATTGGAGGAAACAAAAGAGTAAAGCAGATCGTCACAGATGAACCTATGTTAAGTGGCTCTTCGACAATGTAGCTAGCCTGATATGCCAACTGTGCCTATTGAAACAGACACTGCCATGCAGGGCGACACAGAGCTCAGAGTCGGGCCAGTTGCTTCTCTGATCCAGTTTTGTGAAGTGTAGTTTCGTATGGTTTTTGTTTGTGCTGTTTTCTTTGCCTTCAGTGAAGTAAAGACCGCCCACTTTTGAGCCATGTTCCTTATCAAGTGGTTTCCCCTCAGTACTGCTTCTACAGTGTAACCATGGTGTATTACTTTTAAATATAGTTATTGAATGTTGTTTTTCTTCCTGTAGAAACATAGTATGACAACAATGTAATTGTGCTTGGAACAAAACATATTTTAGCCTGTAAAGAATTTGAATAGGTCCTTGTAGCCTTGTCATGAGAATGACCCAGAGTCTTTAGACTACAGGGCGGTCAAACAAGCTAACACTCTGCAACCCTTTGCTAACATGCTTCCATGCTAAGGCTATATATCTAAAGGGAGCATGATTTAATTAAAAAGGTTACAGGTTATAACAGGGTCATTAAGTAGAGTTGTTCTCTCTCTGTGTGCAAGTCACAGTGCCTTCCTTCATGCAAATACATTTAAATAGTGACGTGAAAGTGACATGGATATCAAACGGGGCAATTTCCTCTTTAGGACAGCCAGCCTGTGCCAGGGCTGATACAGCGATCAAGAGGTCTATGTTTTAGTTCTGGTTAGGAGAAGAACAATGAATGTCCTTTAAATGGCGTCAGCAACGCATAGCAAATCCATTAGTAATCTTTGTACCTCGGGGCAATTCTGGATAAGAATGATGTTTGGGGAGATGCTGTGGTAGCACACTCAGTTAGCCTCCCTTAACTCTTTCTTTGACAACCAATAAGCTATGATTCTTGCTTTTTTCATGTAAATGCCAATGTATATGATTGCCAGAGAGGGGAAGCCAATGAATGTTGAATCAAGTATTTCAGAAATGCTATGTACATCCTCAATGGCTTCCGGTTGTGAATCAAGGTTCTTTGCCCCACTTCCAACACCAAATCCCCACTACCACTTTCGAAAAAAGAAAAAAAAAGCAGCTTGCACTTATTTCAGTTACTCATTATTGATATTGACACACAACGACATCCTTAGATGTGGTATCATGAAGTTGGTGGAACGGAAAAAAAGTAATAAAAAAAACAGCCATAAAAGCTAAATGTTGGGTTATCTTGTGCTTACCTTTTAAAGGTGGTGCTTTGAGGTGATTTTTGTCGACAGGGGCTGTGCAGCCCATGCCTGGGACCTCCAATACAGCAACACCCTTTAGGGAAAAATAGATTTAAAGTAACACGCAGCTAGAGATGTTCTCATGGCCAATTGCACAGAGAGTTGAGATAAAAGAGACGGAGGGGAAAGGGTAGAAGAAGAGTGAGCGCCATGGGCCTAGCCACTTCCCCGATATGGGGTCACCAATTGCATGACATTAGAAACAGTTAGCAGGACAGTTGACAGGAACCACGGAAATCTGGGGAATACAATACTTTAACCAGGAGCACTTTGATACTCTTGAGCGAAAAACAAGGGAATATCTGGGACCGTTCACTATCCGGATCAATCATCTCTGTGAATACTTCAATGTTCCATGTGTTTCTTTACTCTGTTGTTTGGATTACAGGTGGAGGTTCAGTCTTAAAAAAGTCTAATAATGACTTACTGTTCCCCACGCCTGTTTGCGAGTAGTGACTTCCTCAGGTTTCTCATTTCCGACTTGGTTTAAACTCATATTTCATACTTTTGTAGTACAGTAACAACAATACAATACAACTTTTTTCTGAGTACATAACACTTTCTGGATGTAATGAGTCAATACAATTGGTTTTCATAATTTGGTGATCACTGGCTTGTGAAACGGACCCATCGGTGGCAGGAGGACAGTGGGAAATTAAAATGGTCAGTATTTGGAACTACAACTAAAACGAATAAGAAAAAAAAAAGAGGAAAAATCTCAAATTATTAAAGTGAATATCACTGTGTAATATTTATTCAACTTGTAATTTATGTACTCTTTTAACCTTTGTCTTTGTTATGACAAAGCATTTATTTAAATAAAGTTATGTATTCATTTAAGAACTCTGGTGAGGTTTGTTATTTCTGTTGGTGGCTTTTTTTCAAGACGGGCCACTGAAATGGCTTGAAAAGTACAGTTTGGAGTACAATTATCCTGCTAGTAAGCACTGACTAATCTCTGAGGCACGAGCTGATAAACCTCTTAGACATACGTCTGAGACACCCAGGCTAGCCCACAAGGATCTCATGCAGCATGCAGGATGTGACTTTATAAAGCCTCGCCCGAGGGCAAGTCACCTGGTTTTCAACACCATAGTCAGAAAAGATTGCACAGGAACAAGGAAGTCATTTAACATGAGTTTGAACTTCAAGGGGGGGGATAACATCTACTGGGACCAGCTCACTATTGAAATGACAAGGAAGAAGGGATTTGTAGCCCTGGGGGGAATTCATCATGTTATGGAAAACGTTTATTACAACTTAATGGCGGAATGGACTCCTCTGAGGCACGTCCATTCATAAAGACATGCACTAAAGCCTAAAGTACATACATAGACACAAGGTGTGGAGGCAGAAAAGCTGTAGAATGTCTAGTAAAGCTATTGATGATATGGTAAGGCTAGGGTAAACCCACTCAAAAAGCCATATGTTTGCAACAGTGCATTCAGGCCATTGTAGGCTTGGAGAAGAATAATTGCAGATCTGGGGGAAGGGTTTCATATTTTTATAAAAAAACTCACATTTTAGAGAAAACAAATCTAATATTCTCAAGGATTGTGGTGAAGTTTGTTTCCTTCAGAGAAATACACAAATGTTATGACTTTGACATCAGAAAAGTTTCGTCGTTTTTACTTATTTTAATCTATGAAAATATACAAGTTATAAGAATTGAATTTAGACTCTGAAAGTTATCCCCCCACCTTTGTTTTTTTTAAAAAGCAATAAAAAATGTATTACTCTATATATCTGTTTTACATATTGTCCAAATATCAATTTAAAAAAGCATGTTGCATGTAATGTACAATATACACAAATGATATCAGCTATCTATTTTTAAATTCCTTCAGCATGCATAGACACTCTAACCCTAAGGATAACATTTGGAAGGGATTTAGGAATCTTTGTGTGTATCTCCACAGGGGGATTTGTATGGTAACTTTTCATTCCCGTATGGATTCCAGGAAGTGACAGAGTTGGACTTTTCTTTTTGGGGGGCCACTACATTTTTTCCCTGGGGAGCTCAGGACTTTGACCAACTCCAGATGTGGGTGAGTGCAGCGGGGCATGAAAGGGTGGAGGGACCGGCAGACCCTGAGCAGCGAGCAGATCAAGGCTGCCGTAAAGGTTGTTGTGGTGTGCGTACGTGCAGAAGGGAGGGCATAGAATTTAACTTTGGGGGAGGAGGAAACATGTGTAGAAGATTTGATTTGCGAGGCAGTGAACATGACAATTACTATTTGCCTTCAAAGAAACTGACAACTGCACTTAGGACTTCAAAGCATTTATGCCCCTTTTATTACATAATTAGGCCAACAACTTCGGATGGCTCCATCTGACATCGACTCACGCACCTCACTCCGTCAAAACCCCAGTCCAAATGCCGCGTGGAGCGTGTTTGTGCCACACAGACCTCAACTTTTCTCTCCCCTCAGAATTTCTGTAAATATGTGAATAAACAAATGCTGAGTCTGTAAAATCACATGCATCAGATTTGTAGATTGTTTAATTTGATGCACAAGCAAATTAAACAATTTGCCCATATCATTAAATGTGACTTTTAGTAACAATGCGTTTAAAGACATCAGTGTACAAATGGCATGATCAGATGTTTACACTGCATAATTGGGATCTTTGTAAATCATTGCTTGTGTTTTATACTATCTCTTACAGGGGTAATGGTTGCTCATTTCATCACTGGGATGGAGATGAAAGGAGATTCGAAAGAATGTACAGCGCTCCGGAGTAAATCACATGACTTAGCGCTGGAATCCTCCGATGCCGGTGGTAGTAGGCGACAGACAAGTGGCTGCTAGTTTTCATACAAGCCCTTTCATCAAAGATGGACTTAGACCCGGATCCCAAATGGAGGGTTCTTCAGCGTGGATCGGATGTGACTGTGAGAACCAGAACTGTTAAGTAAACCAACTTGGAGATTAAGATTTGACATTCTCAGTGGCGTTTTTATATGTACAAAAGTGGTGTGGCACGAACAACTTAGATGTGTAAGCTTCTGGTGCTTTTTTAAACACGTAAACAAATAGCGGCTATCCATAGTTCCGATAGAGAGAGGGGGGGGAGGGGGGGAACAACAAAAGATATGACATCAAATTAACTTACCAAAGCTGAAGTAGATGATCAACTTCATTCATTTTCTTTCCGTTTTACTGATTTTAATCGCTATACGCTGCTCTCTCTCATCTCCTCACTACTAGGTGAAAACTACACTTTTCGCGGCACACATACTTATAGCCAATCAGCTCTCTGAATTATGAGATGAAGTTTGGTAGGTATAGAGTGGCGAAGTCACGCCCATCTACTTCCGGTCCATGGACCTTATTTTGGAAAAATAATGTATTGAAGCCAATGGAGAGAGAAAACGTATCTTTCGATCCCGTTTGATAGATAGATTCTATCTATATGGCGCTAGATAAGATAACTTTAACAAGATGCCTGTGTGCTTAGTACCAGGTTGTTATCATACCAGCAATTTTTCTTGCTCGTTCTTTCGCTTCCCGTCTGATGAAAGGACCAGGAGTGGCTGGATCAAGTCAGCTACCTAGCTAGTAGCTAGCACGTTAGTTAGCTGTACAGCCTTGAAATTTATATTAGCCTTAATATGAAGTAACATTAAGTAACCCAAAATGTTGAACAGTAAGAGTAGTAGTCATATTTCGTGAACCCTTCCAACAGTACTGTCACCGGTGTGATCATTCTATAATACACAATTTAAGCCCGGGGGAGAAATGCTAACGCTAACGCTAGCATCGGCGATCGCCAATCTTTTCTACTTCATGCTATATGCACAAATGGTTGACATTAAACATTAAAAAGACCAGGCAGTTCAGAGAGAATCGAAGGCAGGCAGGCAGCTTTGCATGACATTCTTCTGGACCTGTTTCCTTGTGGTGATAGTGAGGGTAGTCAATCGTTTTGTTGACAAGAGAGTAGTGACGGCCATCTTGGTGACGTGTGTTGTTCTGCGAGACCAGATATGTAGTTCATTGAGCGTTTCACACAAACAAATGTGTTACTTCACAGTTTTACAAGTTTTTTTGACTTGCAAAATTATCTTTTAAATTGACAAACATCAGAATTCATGGCACAATTCTAACGGGATCGAAAGATAATCTTTCTCTCTCCATTGACTTCAATACATAATTTTTCCAAAATAAGGTCCCATGGAGGTCCACCGGGAAGGGAGGTACTTCGCCACTCTATGCCAGCACTATGCTCCACTGGTGATTATTTTTGTGCCGCACACATTGAATAGAAAAATACTCTGAGCATGCGCAGTGTAGTTTTTACAGCAACCATTCATTGGCTTGCCCCACATTGCTCAACACGGCTCAATAGGCACACTGTAGACACTAATTGGAAGAACGCAGACTAAAACAGCAATGTACAGAAGAATCAGATGACTAAACATGATCTTGAAATATATTTTAACATATCTTTTTTGCATATTTTTTAAATTATTATTTGCATTACTTTCTGCTGACACTAGGTGGTGCTGTCTACAAACATAAAAGGAGCGTTTACTATGAGGGGCCGTGTAGGCCAACATTCAAACGAACCTCGCACACACACTACATTACATTGCATTTAGCTGACGCTTTTATCCAAAGCGACTTGCAATAATAGCAAGTAATTATATTGCTCGAAGTGGAGTCGACAGAGAGGAGTTTTTAGTCTCCGCCGGAACATGTGCAAGCTTTCTGCTGTCCTGATGTCAATGGGGAGCTCATTCCACCATTTTGGAGCCAGGATAGCAAACTGACGTGTTTTTTGCTGATTGGAACTTGGGTCCCCCTCGCAGTACGGCTGCAGCGAGCCGTTTGGCTGACGCCGAGCGGAGTGCACGTGCTGGGGTGTATGGTTTAACCATGTCCTGGATGTAGGAAGGGCCAGATCCATTCACAGCATGGTATGCAAGTACCAGTGTCTTGAAGTGGATTCTAGCAGTTACTGGAAGCCATTGAAGGGAGCGATGAAGCAGTGTGGTGTTGGAAAATGTTGGAAGGTTGAAGACCAGACGAGCCGCTGCATTCTGGATGAGCTGCAGAGGTCGGATGGCACATGCAGGTAGACCAGCCAGGAAAGAGTTGCAGTAGTCTAGGCGTGAAATTACGAGAGCCTGGACCAGAGGTTACGTCACTTTCTGGGTAAGGAGGGGACGTATCCTCCTGATGTTGTAAAGAGTAGCAACAGCGGGTTGTAGCAGCGATGTTTGCAGTGAAGGACAGGTTGTTATCTAGGGTCAAACCCAGATTCTTTGCAGTCTGAGTCGGGGAAACAACAGAGGGGCCGATGTTGATTGTTAGGTCAAGGGTGGGACACTCTTTTCCCGGAAGAAAAAGCAGTTCAGTCTTGTCAAGGTTGAGCTTGAGGTGGTGAGCAGACATCCACTGAGAGATGTCTGCTAGACAAGCAGAGATGCGTGCGACGACCTGGGGCTCTGAGCGGGGAAAGGACAGAATTAATTGGGTGTCGTCAGCGTAGCAGTGGTATGAAAAACCATGCTGACTAATGACCGATCTGAGCGAGTTTGTGTACAGAGAGAAGAGGAGGGGACCAAGGACAGAGCCCTGAGGGACCCCTGTAGTTAATTGACAAGGGTCGGACTCGGACCCTCTCCAAGTTACCCTGTAGGTGCGGTCTTCGATGTATGAGATGAGGAGGGAAAGTGCAGAGCCTGA